CTCCTCTGCGCCTAAGCTTAGGGAAGGATTCAAAACGCGACTCTCTCAAAGGAGGGTAGCAAGTGTGTGATTGGGAGATCTCATTCCAGCAGAGGCTCACTGATCGGTTTCTGGGATGAAAATGGATTGGAAATCGGTAGGGACCTGGAGCGTGAATTTGAATATAAAGGGTAAGCCGTGTAGTGGGATGCTGGACACAGGAGTGGAGATGAATATCATCCAGGAATCTTACGCACTCCGCTTAGGAATGAAGATTGATCGAGTGGACTCAGACTTCCTCTATGGCACAAGCGGGAAGAATCCTTTTACTGGGACGGCGTCGAATGTGGTGATTGAAATCGGGAAAGTGAAGGTGCGGTCATGCTTCTTCGTTATGCCCGATTTGGACCATCCTCTCCTGCTGGGAAGGTCATTCCTTTGCCGCACTGAATCAATGATACTTAACAAGCATGACGGCACAATGTACGTCATCCTAAGTGATCCAGTTTGCGGCAACTACGGGATTCTCACCTGTAACAATACAGGGCCTCGTAGCTTGAGGAATAGGTCAAACCCAGGTTCCTATACCTTTGAGGAATCTGAATGGAAGAGGAGGAGATTAACGGGCGAGGATGAAGAGGAATGTGAGCCTACTGGCGAGGTGTGCTTAAGCCTAACCAGCATCAATGACGCAATGGAGACAGTGTCGTCATATGGGATGGCGGATCCCATTGCTGTACAGGCTTTGAGAGAGAGAATAGTGGAAGATTCCGGCGAGGGAGAAGTGGAGCTCGTGTATCGGTTGCCGGCAAGGACAAGATAACCAGGGGTACCCCAGAGCCGTGCTGCAAGTCAGCCTTTTTTAGGGGTGGGCTTAAGCAGGGCTCCAAAAGGAGGTACAAGCGCGTGACTGAGAAGAGTTACCCCGTTCCTGTCCTCATAACTGTGGAAGAAGAGTTCTACTATGAGCAGGAACGTGAACTGATACGGCAAATGAAGAAGGATGCAGAACATGGGCCGTGCCGTATCAATGAGAGGACCGAAGGGGACCTGATAATAAGAGAGTCAGGATTCCTCACGCCACAAGAAAAAACCCTTATGGTAGAGGTAATGAAGGAGCGGCATCGCGTATATGCGTTTGACGATAATGAGCATGGACACCTCGATGTGGATAAAGTTCCAATGATTCCGATCCACATTGTGCCTCATGTACCATGGAACTTGCGAGGGTCACGCTACTCCAATCCGGCAGAGGAATGAAGAGTAGTCGACTACTTGGATGACAAAATTCATTCTCATGTAGCCGACCACTCAAGTGGGCCTTACGCATTGCCATGGTTTTGCTTTATCAAGCCGAACGGTACCCTGAGGTGGGTACAAGACCTTCAACGCCTGAATGCAGTAACGATACGAGATGCGGGAGGTTTGCCGAACGCAGATGCACTGTCAGAATCCTGTGCCGGGCGGCCTACCATTTCCTTGATAGACCTGTACTCAGGGTACGATCAGTTCCCGGTGTATCCGCCTGACAGGCCTATAACTGCGATGCACACACCAAGGAGGTTGATCCATATGAACGTGGCGCCGCAGGGTTGTACGAATGTTGTGGCGATGGTCCAAAGGCATATGGTTCGCGTTATGCAGACGGTTAGTCCACATCTTATGCAACCATACATTGATGATTTGACCGTGAAAGGGCGAAAGAAGAAGGATGAGACGGAGGTTATGCTTGGGGTAAGGAAATTCGTCTGGGATCATATACAAGATATTGCTTGGATTCTTGACATTCTGAGGGATTACAACCTTACTGTGAGTGGACTGAAGTCGAAACACTGTATGCGGAGGCAACCATATTAGGCTTCGTATGTAACGAGAGCGGTCGTCACCCTGACATCAAGAAAACTAACAAGATACTCGAATGGCCGGTGCCATTCGAATCTGTTAGTGAAATTCATAGCTTCCTGGGGACATTTGACTTTTGGCGAGTTTTCATCAAGAAGTTCGCTGAGAAGACAGAACAGTTGAGGAAGCTTGTCAGGAAAGATCAAGAATGAGAATGGGATGAGAAGCAGGAAGGTGTTGTACGTAGTTTGAAAAGGGAGTTCAGAGAAGGTGGTCTGGTATTGGGAGTTCCTGACTTTGAAGCAACGCCAAAACATCTTTTCATCGTAGAGACTGATGCAGGGCCTACAGCTCTGGGCGGCATTCTGATCCAAGCTGATGTAAATGGTGAGGAGAGGCCTTTTAGGTTCGAGAGTCGAACCTTGAATGACACTGAGAGAAACTACTCACAGTTCAAGCGGGAGACACTTGCAGTTCTCCACTGTCTAAGGGTGTTCCGCAACTACCGTTTCGGAAGGAGGTTTGTGCTGAGAGTCGATCCGACCGCATTGGCCGGTTCATTAAAGAACTACGCACCGTCAGACCCAACTATTGCCAGATGGCTCATATATGTGTGGATGTTTGACTTTGAGTTGGAACGCATACCTGGGAATAAGAATCGGGCTGACGGGCTTAGTCGGATCAATTGGGATAAGTCCGGCGATGAAGCTAATGAGGATATTCCTCCGATAGATGCATTCCTCGATGAAAAGGAAGATGTGAAGCTCCACATCAATGTGCATGTCGTTGGGGTCAGTGGAGTCATTGTGCAAGGGCAGTCTGTTTTTCTTGCTCATGCCGGGTACGTAAAGCGAGCAGATATAGTCCTCAAGGACTTCGTGGAGGAGGATCCTTGGGGAGGGAAGAAGGTTGAGTGGATGGCAAAGCTTGCATTTACTGAGACCTTTCAGTTAGGAGAAGATTCATTGGTCATTGAGAGTGGAGCCTACTCACTCGACACGCACGCGAAGTATGTGGCGGATGTCAGTTTCCTTGTCAACTCAATTGTCTAAGTGCACGAGGATGGAAAAGGGAGTCGAGACCCTGTGAGAGATATGGAAGAGAACGAGTTCGAGGAAGGAGAGATAACGAAGGCTTTTCGCGCAGATGAGTAGGAAGGCGTATACCGTGAATTAGGTTTGCTTCTCTCATGTGAGATCAGGGAGAGAAAGGCAACTAAGAAGGTACTCGAGATGCGACCTCGCTTTTTAGTCCGGGATGGACACCTTTTCATCAAAAACGAGGTTGGCAACCCGAGGAGGGCGATCTACGACCGAAATCGTCAGATAGACGTTATAGTCGCACTTCATGACGGACCCCAAGGCGGTCATAGAGCATTCGCCTTGACATATGCAAAGACGCGAGAACTTTCCTACTGGGAAGGAATGAGCGAGATGATTCGCAAGTACTGCGAGTCGTGCGTTTCATGTCAAATAAGGGCGTCAACTGTGTACAAGGAGCCATTGCACCCACGGATTGTGCGAGATGCAGGAGCAGTGGTCTATCTGGACCTACTGGCAATGCCTCAAGGAGTGGGCGACTACAATTAGATCTTCGATGCGCGGGACAATCTTACGGGGTTTGTTGATGGGCGAGCCATTCGCAGTAAGATGGGCGAAACATTGATTTTGTGCATCTCCGAGTATTTTCTGAGATATCCTTTCGTAGATGAATTCGTGATGGACAGGGGGTCAGAGTTCACTTGTAGAGAGGTGCGAACCTTGTTGCAAGAATACGGCGTACAAGCCAGCTACACGACTAGGGCACATCCGCAGGCGAATGCTCCAGTTGAGAGAGGGCATACCACCATCACGAATCTACTGGCGAAATGGACGAACGGCAGGGAGAATCAGTGACCTAAGTATGTGCGCGCAACATTCTTCGTCGAAAATATTACGATTAAGAGATCCACTAGGTACGCGCTAGCAACGCTATGGTATGGAAGGCATGCCACACTCCCGATAGAGAGCTTTCTGAAGACGTGGAGGAGGCAGGATATGAAAATCACATTGTCCTTTGAGGAATTGCTGGATTTGCGGGCCAGACAAGTTGGCATCGCAGAAGAGAGGAGTCCAGGAAGCGGCAGATCGGATAACCGACAGTCGGCTAGAGGATAAGGAGAGGTAGGATCTCCTCCCACGAGTCAGGAAGAAGCCACTGGAAGTTGGAGATTTAGTGCTATTATACGATTCGTCGCTAGAAAAACAGTGTTCGCGCAAGTTGGACAAGCGGTGATTAGGCCCGTATCGCATTAGACAGTGTGGGCAGCATGGAGCATATGAAATTGAAGAGCTTAACGGCACGCCGTGGAGAGATTGGGTCTCTGGTTCGAAACTGAAAAAGTTCAAAGCACGAGACTAAGGTAAGGGCAATGGAAAAACACCGTGAGTAGAAATAAAATTTGATTCCTCGTCTTACTACATGGTACTCTGCATTAGTAATAGGATAGAATTGTGTGCTAGTATTTAGATAGGTCTTCGTATGAGTTTTGGTTAGTCAGTCAGGTCAGTCGTCTGAGGGTATGAGAGATCTGCTTGGGTCAGTCAGTATAGAAATTCCTCATTCCTCTCCTGTGCTTACTTCTGTTTCCTCTATCGTCCGTCCTTCTTATTTGTGCAGGGTTGGCTTTTCGAAGTTGGCTATTATTTGGAGGGGCGGGAGGATGGCAGGACAGGAGGATGAGGGACTAGCCACGTCTTTGATACTGGACCCATTCCGTTACGGGGGTGGACATGTATTTCCATTTTTGGACGGCTTAGTTAGGCAGGTTTGGATTCTTCAGTTAGATTTTGCTCAGATGACTGAGAGGGTCTGGGTACTGGCAGCTATGAGGAGCGTGTGGCTCATATCCTGAGAGAGTCATTGGATTGGAGGCAGTTCGCCAGGCAGATGCTGAGATTGCAGCCTCAGCTTATAAATCGACAGGGTAAGCCCATGCGGTTTGACGGGGCTAACTTGAACGAGTTCCTTGAGGTTTTCGTCATTTTTGGGGATGGGCAAAGATGGACTGAGGCACAGAGGGTTAGGCAGGTACGACATTGGATTGTCCCAAATCTTAGACATGAGGTGAGTGTCATGTCACACAGTGCAGGCTTGGGCGGAGCTTATAGCGACGCTTAGAGGGGCGTTCACCGCTGACAGACGACGCAGGCTGCGCAGAGAGGTTGGGGATTACATCCCGGAGCTCAGGGATGAGGATGATGAGGGGCGATTGCGACAGCAGCAGAGAGAGAGTGAGCAGCCAGAGATTCCACGCAGGCCTAGGACAGGCAGGCGCAGAGGACATCAGGATCGAGGGGATGATTTGAAGGAGAGGGATCAGGTGCTGGCTAGTGATGTTGGGAAGGTGCTCCCCACATATGATACACGGTTAAGAACAACTACCCCATGCCTCGTTCCGATGAGCTGTTTGACCGCCTAGCAGGCAACCGCTTCTTTACGAAGATTGATCTTCGTAGCGGTTACCATCAGATCCACGTCGCTGCAGCCGACCAGCCGAAAACAGCGTTCCGATCGCGCTTCGGCCACTACGAGTTCACTGTGATGCCATTCGGCCTCACCAACGCACCCGCTACCTTCCAGAGGGCGATGAACGACATCTTTAGGGACATCCTGGAGCAGTACGTTCTCGTCTACCTCGACGATATCCTGATCTACAGTCGTACCCTTGAGGAGCACCTCAGACACCTCCGCGACGTCCTTGACCACTTGCGCAGACATGGCTTCTACGCCAAGCTGAGCAAGTGCCGCTTTGCCCAGCACAAAGTGAATTTCTTAAGACACTACGTGTCTGACCAGGGTCTCCACATGGACGACGCGAAGATCACTGCTATTGCGGACTGGCCCGTCCCTACATCCGCCAAGCACCTTCGCAGCTTCCTAGGCCTTACTAGCTACTATAGTAATTTCATCCAGAGATACGCTAGGTATTCCTACGTCCTTACCTCCACCCTCCTCCGGAAGAACCCACCCTGGGCTTGGACACCCCTCCACGAGGACGCCTTCCGCGCCCTAAAAAAGGCGGTGACATGCGCACCGGTTCTTCACCTACCCGATTTTGATTGCCCTTTTATCCTTACCACCGATGCGTCAGACTTTGCCGTAGGATTAATGCTTTCTCAGATCTTCCCCTCCTCTCCTGATTCCTTTCATCCTCGTATCCCTCGCTTCCCATCACCTACCCCTACCACTGCTTTCCGACTGACGCATACTCGTCTAGCTACCGACGAACCTTCTATTGACTATTCTCCTACCATCGTCGAGGATGACACTGTCGAGTCTCGCTCAGGTGATTGTCCGATATCATTCTACTCCCGTCAGCTCCTGCCCGCCGAGATAAACTACACTGCTGATGAACGTGAGATTCTCGCAGTAGTTTATGCCGCTCGGCACTGGCGTCACTACCTGCACGGGGCACCATTCACGGTGCGTACGGACAACTCTGTTGTCCAGGCTTTTCTGACAAAATCGAAGTTCACTCCTCGACAGGCTAGCTGGTGGCGCGACCTATCCGAGTTTAGTTTCACCACTGAGCACATCAAGGGTGAGACTAATCGGGTCGCAAATGCCTTATCCCGGCGCCCTGACCACGACCATTTGGGGGAGGAGACCTTACCGATAGGATCTCAGAGGCACGACGATTCATCTATCCCTGAGATTGGGACATCACCAGTACCAGAGACATGCCCGGCTGAAGTAGGGATCAGCGGTTGTGATCCTAGAGGTGCGCCTGATGTGGATGAGGGTGCTCAGCCTATGATCAGACAGGATGGGGAGGAGGCTACCCCACAGCTTGTGTTGACGATTGCTTCGGCCCGGCCTACAGAGACAGATACCATGGAGGGAGTGGTTCCTAATACTGCATCAGAGAGGCCTTATCGATGGAGAGATACACGGGACATGGCATTAGATCTCCCACAAAGGGAGCTACCGCTTATGATAGAGCCTGCCACTTTAGTACCGATGTAGGAGCACGAGGAGCGTCAGCCTGAGTGGCCGCAAGAGACGACGTCCATGCATGATGAGCTAGGGCATGATGGGCAGAGGGTCCAGTCTCGGTCAGAGCCGGCAGTGGAGGATGGTGAGAGAGGTGCGATGGGACCCTCATCATTGGACGGATCGTCGTTACTGATCGAGAGTCGATTGGCTGAGCAGCCAACTGAGACTGAGGGTTCATTGACTGCCCAGCTATATGACATGGAGTCTCCTAGGATGCAGATGCGACAGGAAGTATCCCAACCCTCGCCCATGGACATGGAGACAGAGCGAGTTGAGGCCGAGGTTTTGGGGCTAGATAGAGAGGGTCTCACGGAGGACATGCAGACCCAGCGAGTGGAGACGTCACCACTAGACTTTGGGGAACTCCACGATAAGATGGTGATCAGGCTAAGGCCAGTACGAAGGGGCACACTGAGGCAGGCACGGAGCATACCCAGGACGCATCTCCGACTCATGAGGAGGAGAGCTTGCCGGAGTCTCGAGGGCCGATAGGTCACGAGCTTGTCAGGAGGGATGCATGGCTAGTCGAGGAGATAGGACAGATGCCATCATTACATTTTCCAGGTTGGTTGGCTTTTGAGCAATTGGGCCAGACCGCGAAACCGCACTTGCCGGTTGATCAGACCACTGGTGGGCTCAGGGTACTGGATGACGACTTAACCTTGCAGAGGACCTATATTGTTAGTGGCCTCGCAGCAGCTCGACAAGCGACAGAGCAGGTTCAGGATTACACGAGGAGAGTTGCCATTCGATCCTTTGAGTTGGGTTGCGACAGACAGATGGATCACGATGCACTGAGAGAGGTGCTGAGTGATCTCCGCACATTTGTTGAGGGAAGAGACGTCCAAACGCTAGAGGAGGCTATGCGTGCTTCAATTATGTCAATCCGATTTTGAGAACTGTGACAAAACATCCACGAAGGCAATCATCAAGCAAGAATAATGCAGAAAATAAGACTGATTGACTTGAGCAAAGACAGGGGCAATTGAATGAGGGAAGAATGAGAACTCAAAATAATATCAGAAAACACACATAAACGAGTATGGTCAGCACCTAGCAACGAAGGCTTCGGACGAGCAGCGGACAACGACAATGATTCTGTTGGCAGTAGCACGACGAACAACTCGGGAGTAGTCACGAAGACAACCTCCTTGCCGATCTTACATCAGTAAGGATAACGAAGGCAAGCCACGCGACCTTGTTGATGATATCGAGTTGAGGCACGTGACTATGGGTCATGCCCCATTACATGCCAAATGTGAAAAATGAGGATAAATCTTCCACTAGAGTGTGGAACTATCCGCTGTCGTCGGTCGCCCTGCCTTCTGCCAGGTACGCCTTCTCATGTTCTCCTCTCTCTCTCTCCCTCGTTGTCTTTGTGGCCTTCGTTGTCTTTCCCATCCTTCTCCTTTCACTTCGATCTCCTTTCTTCTCAATGCGCTCGACCAATCCAAGGGCCAGGTTCACTCAGTGTCTGGTCTGTGCAGATAATGATGCAGCCCTTCAAGCAAAGCAGCTCTATCTCTCTCTCTTCCCCTGCCCACCTTCAACGCACTTGGTTGAAACTTCAACCAGGTTCATGTCACCCTCATTCCGAACTTCACCGTAGTCGTGACCGAGAACGAACAAGGTCAACGGGAAGCCAATCAACCAATGGAATGAGGATGATTTCCACGAGGGGGGGGGGGGCGAGCTGCAGTAGTGGAATGACTGCTACTCTTCAGCGTGCAGAAAAGAAAATGCATCTTCCACTAGGACAAGGGAAGATACACCCTCATATTCAAAAATATAGTAGTCGCGCAGCCTCCCTGTCTCGTAGCGCCCATACCGTTCACCAAACTCGGAATCTGGCACAAGCCGCACAACCAATCAATTCAAAATGCCTCAAAACCTACATTTAGAGTCCTCACTCGCCCAATTTCACCAAGAAATGAGCGAGATACACCATTTTCTCGTTTCACTTTTCTCCTCCCTTCGTCTACTCCGCGCACGCGATTTCTATTCTAACTTGTTACCTACTAACTCTCTGCTTAATCTAAATCCAGATTCCAGCTCGCCCTGTTAGGAAACCTTAGTCTAGGATTTCACCTCACTCGATTCCATCGAGGAATGAATGAGTTATGCGCCTTTCCTCCTTTACCTCCTTCTTCTCCCTCGTCGTTTTCACCAAGTTTTCCTTCTTCTTCGTTGCCTCATATTTCTTCTTCCCTCTATCAAATAGCGCAGCGGCCCGACAACAATCCACCCAAAAATGAACTCTCTCTTTGTAAACTGTTGACCATGCAACTTTACAGTACACAGTCTGGTCAGGCCGCTCTTTCTGAGTCTGCAATGAACCAGCCTGCAATCTACTACCGGGTTCATCCGACAGTAGGGAGTGCATTGAGAAACGTCCTTCGAGGACTAACCCCAGAAAAGATCCCCAAAATCCACCTCGGTGGGATTCTTACCCCGTTGTTACACTACCACTTATCTCTAATGCATGTGGTCGTAGTTACAACCTATTTGACATGTACCTGGCTGCAATCACAGGTATAAGTATAGATAATAGTAATAGTATTAATAATAATAAATTTGGTGTGGGTGCGCCCTCAGCGTCAAATAGCAGGAGCAGAGAAAGGGAAATTCATGCTTGTTGTCCCTGCACAGGGACCATGCTAGTCTTCTCTGTATCGTTCCAATTTTTAACAGATGTCCCGAAGGACAAGTCACAGTCCCACCTCGGAACTTTGCAGACTGGCTGGTCTGTTGATTTGTTAGTACCTGGTTTTGAACTCCGATCTGCATTTCCACAGTCAGGGGGGGCGTACCAACTGAGCTAGGCCCAAGGGCTGTTCCCACAGACCTGTTTTCAACAGTCCGCGGGTGTACCAACTGCGCTGGGCCTTGGTGGTGGTCCCACAGGCCTATTCTCTTAGCAGTTCGAGGGTGTACCAACTGCGTTGGGCCGTGGTGCTGGTCCCACAGGCCTATTCTCTCAAGAGTCGAGGGTGTACCAACTGCGCTGGGCCGTGGTGCTGGTCCCACAGACCTATTCT